CGCGCAATAATACGAAGATGCCTATTCTGCAGAATGAAGACGCAAGTACCGCCGCATCCGAGAACCGGAGACCTGCCAACATGTCGCTTAGCTCACCACAAGCGCCCCTTCACCTACACCGGGGTGGACTATTTCGGACCCCTTTCGGTGACTGTCGGACGAACTCGACAAAAGAGATATGTGGCCATTTTTACATGTCTCACTACGCGAGCCATACATCTAGAAGTCGCCGGCTCACTCAGCGCTGACTCCGCGGTAATGGCCATAAGGCGAATGATCGCGCGGCGAGGCTGCCCGACAGAAATATGGTCAGACAACGGCACCAACCTGAAGGCAGCCGATAAGGAACTACGACGGGCGGTCGACGCAGCGACCTCAGAAGAAGCAGCGAAGAGGACTATCTCCTGGCGCTACATCCCGCCTGGAGCTCCATTTATGGGCGGAGCCTGGGAGCGAATGGTTCGCTCTGTCAAGACCGCTCTCATCGCGACGTTGCACGAACGTCATCCGACAGAGGAAGTCCTCACAACACTACTAGTAGAAGTAGAATACACAGTCAACAGCCGCCCGCTGACTCACGTCTCAGTCAGTCCAGAGGATCCTGAAGCTCTTACTCCTAACCACTTCTTGTTGGGAGGACCGGGACGAGTACCACAGCCAGGCACTTTCACCGAACGAGACACCCTCTTACGGTCAAGTTGGCGAGCTGCGCAGAGACTAGCCGACATCTTCTGGCTACGCTGGGTGAAGGAGTACCTCCCTGAGCTCCAACACCGGCGGGAGCCCCACGGACGAGGCCAAGCAGTACGCGTCGACGACCTCGTACAGATCGTCGATCCGAACCTACCCCGCAACGTGTGGATACGAGGAAGAGTCATCGCTACATATCCGGGTCCTGACAACATCGTGCGGACAGTGGACGTGCTGACAAAGGGAGGAGTCCTACGCCGGCCAATAAGGAAGCTGGTGATCCTGCCTCTATCTACGGACGTCGAGCCCGCACCGGAAGCTGATGCGACGCGGTCGCACGGCGGGAGTGATGTGCGGGACAAGTGAAAATAAATAGACTTATACCTAAATAAGACGAACATTTTTATATTATAGTAGTTTAGAGTTTGTACTTAAATAGGATATAAGCGTTTATATTGTGTTAATAAAGACTATAGTTTAAAGTTACACATAAAATAGGATATAAGCGTTTATGTTGTGATTATAGTTTAAAGTTACACATAAGAGAAGATATAAGCATTTTATATTAAGAAAACTAATAGTGTAAAGCTTATATTCATGTATTAGAATTAGTAATTCACTTTGTATAATAATATAACTAGCTTAAGGTAAACAATGTAACTCAGCTCTGTAGCGCCTCGCGCTGATTGGTCGACGCCGTCACACGGTACGCACGCCGTACTACTCGACCCGGCCGAGGTAGTATAAAAGAGGGGCGATTTTCGTCGTTCGACACAGTCGGCGGCCAGCTCTCTCAAGAAAAACATCAAATATAGAAGAAAGAAAAAAGTGTCAGTGTTTTATTCTCCACCAACCCAGCACACAAATGTGCTTGTAGGGCACACACACGGGCGCCGAATCGATTTTGGGACACCACGGTTTTAGGATCAGGAATCACAGGAGGCAAATGCTGGTCAACTTCCTCGAGAAAGAGGGACTATTTCTGATGAATACGTTTTTCGCGAAGTTAGTACGTAGCATTAGTACTATGATAATAAAAAAATTAGATTGAATTCATCAAGACGTACAAAAGGCACATATTCACATGTATCTCAGTGATCAACAAATTCAATACCGGAAGCGATCACCGACTTGTTCGAGGCACTCTGAATATCGATTTTACGCTTGAAAGGTCCCAATTGGTGAAGTCTACGATTCTACCAAATCTGTTTCAAACCGTAACTGGCTCCCAACGCTTCCATCTAGAACTTAAAAACCGATTCGAATTCGATGTCCTGCGTGATTAAGGTCTTAAGGGATAAGGGCAACAGGTTTTGTGGCAAGCAACATACGGGCCGAAAGCCAAAGTTCTCAGTTGAGACACTTCAGCTTATGAAAAGAAGGCGTGAGTTAACAACTGCATCACCATCGGGACAGGTGACACTAACCAAGCTTGTGTGGAAAGCTGTGAGGCGGGACCTGCGTCGCTCTAATGCAATTGCGATACAAGCGGCAATATAGCGAAACAAAGTATTCAAAATCTTTGTTCGTGAGCTTGGAAGAAGTCACATCGCAAAACTCTAGACGCATGATGGCAAATTCTTCATGTCAAAGCCTGAAGTTCTCTCTGATATCGAACATTATAATGGCAAACTATATGCCTCACATAAACCTACCTAACCTACCCCTACCTAAATTCGATGATCTCAGAGCCACGCTGATCCGCCACTATACCAACGAGCTGCCAGACATCTGCCTTGGGGAGATTGAGCTGGCCCTCGGCCAACTTAAAAAGGGAAATGAGGTCAACCCTTGCTAAAAGAGCTCTGTCGAGTTTTTAACTACATCTTACGAGATGGGAGAACTCCAAGGCGTGGAGCAGAAGCATTACAGTCTTGTTTCACAAGAAAGGTGACAATACTATGCTAAAAAATTATCGACCCATCTTGCTTCTGAACCACGTCTATAAGTTGTTTTCAAGGGTCATCACAAATCAACTCCCGCAAAAACTCGACGACTTACAGCCTGCGGGACAGGCTGGGTTTCGAGGAGGATTTGGCACATTCACACAGTGCGGCAAATAATACAGAAGACAACAGAGTATAATCAGCCCCTGTGTCATGTATTTGTGGACTATGAGAAAGCCTTTGACTCCATTGAAACTTGGGCTGTTCTAAATTCTTTGCAGCGGTGCCAAATTGCCTGGCGGTACATCGAAGTACTGAGATGCCTTTATAAAACCTGTACGATGTCCGTCCAAGTACAGGACAGTCAAACAAAACTAATACAGTTGCATCGCGGAGTGAGACCGGGAAATGTTATATCCCCTAAGCAGTTTACAAATGCACTGGAAGATGTTTTTAAGACGTTAGACTGGAAAGGACGCGGTATTAACCTAAACGGTGAGTACATCTCAGACTTACGCTTTGCTGATGATATCGTCATCATGGCAGAATCGCTGTAGGAACTTCAGGATATGCTGAACAGACTAAATGAATCCTCGCAACGTATTGGTCTGTGCATGAATCTAAACAAGACAAAAGTTATGTTCAACGATTACGTCATGCCAAATCCAATTATTGTTGATGGTGAAATTCTTGAAATTGTCCAGGAATATACCTACCTCGGGCAGATATTGCAACTAGGTAAGAATAACTTCGAGAAGGAAGCCGATCGGAGGATTCAGTTGCGCTGGGCAGCATTTAGAAAGCTCCGTCGGCTCCGGGCTCTCGTCGCCCATACCGCAAAGTCTGAAGACAAAATTCGAAATGAAGAAATTCGCCGGAGAACCAAGGTTACTGACATAGCCTTCCGTGTTTGTAAGCTGAAGTGGCAATGGGCTGGTCATGCCTGTAGCAGAAGTGACAACCATTGGAGTAGACGTGTTATGGAGTCGAGACCGCGTCTAGGCAAACGTAGTGTGGGACGCCCTTCGACCAGATGGAGCGACGATCTGCGCAAGGTAGCTGGCAGCAACTGGATGCATGTAGCCGAAGATCGGGCCTTGGGAGAGGCCTATGTCCAGCAGTGGACTGCCGCAGGCTGATGATAATATTCAGATGTATAAATATCGATCTCCTCTTTTGGCTCAGAATTGCCCTCACTATACGAACTACGGCAGCATTAAGCTGATAAAGGGTTTTTAAGAGGGACGCTCAACTTTTACAGCGTATAGCGGCCATCGTGGTAAAGCGATGGCTGTCGAATTCGATAAGAATATTTATTTAGTGTGTGTTCCGATATACGGTGTAAGGTGTGAGCGTGACGTCAATTAAGTATACTGTGAAGCCGTTCCTTTTTAGTTTACTATTCTAGTTACTGTTTAAAACGGTACGCAGTCCAGTTCTATCACCCCCTTTTTCGACACTGTTTTCGAATGAAAATATTTATCATGTACATGCTTTCTGTTCAACAAGAAAAAATATTATTTGAATGTTTTTGCTTTTAAAACCTAATGTCCGAGTTTATTTGAATAACAAAATTAATTAATAATAATAACAATCATTCCTGGAAGTTTAAATCTCTAGGCGCTGTTATGGTTTTTGATCACGTGAAAGCGCCAGTGTTCACAGTACAAAAATGGCGGTGATTTATGACGTTATATATTTCCCTAGGATACTGCGGCAGTATGCTGGCAGTCTATAATGGGATGAATTTTTCACCTGTGAGAGCACTGATCAGGGCTCACAGTGTATATTCCGTACGTTGTGTCCAATTTATGGCATTCATGGCCGTCCTGCAGAGTCCACATATCGTCAGTGAAGTTCTAACAGTACGAAAGTCAAAAATGGCTACTTTACAGGAGAGTGAAAAAACTGTATGAAATGGATGTAACTTATGCATAAGGCCATATTGTGTTTAATTATTAATACAAATGAACTCTGTGATGATTTGAACTCGTGAAAATCGCGAGAATCTTTTCCATTGAAGTAATTTGGTGAATTCCGCAGTGTTGCCAGTAGTTGTCACTGACTTACGTCATGTTTCATCTAATTAATATAGGTAAAGGAGATAAAATGGAGAAGGGAAATGATAAAATTGTTTAACAAAATGGTGTTAAAAGTTTATTTTATAAAAAAGAAAAGAAAATAATTTGTATTATAAAAATGTTTTGCTTAAAACGAATCAACTTCTTATCTATAATCAGACTTATGAGATCAATAGGGTAGGGAATCATAATACCCGTGACAGTCAGAAGGAATAACAGTCTTTAACTCCTGTAAATGTTTCCATTTAGTTACTGATATTTTAATGCGACTTTGGTAGAATTTTGGTCTAGGGGGTAAAGTTTCGGGCAATACTACTCTTCGTCGAATTCTGCGTGGCAGATCTTAATAATCCTCCTCAAAGTTCAATTTATATTTGATGACTCCACTTGGATTATACTGCAGTGCTCGTATGTCCGTTACTGTAGGATCATTGACGGAGCGACCAGGCCGTATGGAGTCATACATAAACGAATTCTTGTCTGAGAAGTCGTCGAAAAAACTGTAGTCTAAATATTCAACTAAATAAGGTTTTTGCGGTCGAGCTTGTTTTGATAACGTCGCAAATTGACTTGGTAGAAATATCTCCTGGTTTTTTAATTTTTGCTCGATGGAACTGTGAACCGCATCACACTCCATCTGTGTGTGACCTTTCTCCAAAAATTTTTGTTCTATAACGATGTTTTTTTCCATCGATAGTTGTAGCAGAGCATTCGATAGATAAACATTCCGATTCTGCGCCGTACAACCATCAGAATATAAAATGATTGGCATGCATTTCTTCAGTAGTGTTTTTTTAAAACAGTCTATGATGCATGATATAAACACAGAAGCAGTCAAACCAGCGTTACTCTCGTCAAACCAATAGCAGGTAACTTCTTTGTTGGCAAGATTATACATCGTAAAATTATGCACACATAGTTTAGTTTTAAAATATAAAGCACTGGCTTGAAGTTGTGGACATAACTTTACGGCCTGTAAATCTTGTGTAAAAACATGTACGTCATCCAATTGACGAGCTTCCTCTCTTTATCTTTCACTTTCTCGCTTCTTGCCATGTCTTTTTTCTTAATATGTGATCGATATTCTTCCTCTGCTATGTTGCCTACCTTGTACGAACAGCAAGTAGCGCACTGATCTTTTTTAGGCGAGAACAGGCTTAGATTCAACTCGTCAAAAACTTTGCACATAGTCCAGCGACTAAGTGGACTTTTCGACTCTTTTTCGCACTCTTGGATGTACAACCTAAAAAGACAGTTCTTGTTTTCAACAATCGGCTCTAAATACTGTTTCGATGTAGATGCCCTGCAATAGTGCGAGGGCATTTTTGGTAACGAAGCGAAGAACTGTTTGAGGAATGTCATGTCTTCTTTCTTAATAACGCGTTCATCATTGTTGTCGTTTGGTCGTGGTGTTATTTTAGCAATGCCATGTTCAGATCTATCGATCCAGTATCTTATAGTCGACTCTTTCAAACCCAGAGTGTTCAAAAAAGTCTTCAGACAAACTTGGGTACGTCCCTCTGATGTACTGAGAAAGTACTGTTTACTCTCTCTTCTACGAGAATTAGATTTTACTTTTACTTGCTTTTTTTCACAAACGGAGACGTGAGATACAACGTACTGTTTCCGTTGCTCCCAAGTCATGCTTTTCCAGAACTTGCCAAAAATGTTCTCTCTTTCGATGTCAGACAAGCTAAAACAGCCACGTAACTTAGACTTCGAGCAAAATGTGGAAGTGCAACGTGAACCAATTGAACGTGCTGGACGTGGCACATCATGAAGTACATTAAATTTCTCTTGCCCTGAAACTTTCCTGTCCCTACGGTACCCCACATATTCTTCACCTTGCATACGCTTCAGTTTTGTTGTGTTTTTATTCCATTTTTTAGGTTGTGCGAATCCCTTCGATTTCCTTTTTCTATTAGAATTTATATCTTCGATCTCACTGTCAGACGGTAGTTGCTCCAATAGCGACGGTGAATTTCCAGCAGTCGTGGAAAGCGGCTGTACTTCTTCATTTAAACAGGTAGATGGAACTGAAGGTAAGAATGTCTCTTCAATGTCATTTTCAGGTGGTTGTGTCGCTTCTAATGGCGGTGAAACCTCAACAGACGAAGACAAAGGCTGCAATTCTTCTCTTGGCTGCAAATGTACTATGGTAACTTGTTCAGACGAAAGAGGTATGGTATCCTGAATGTTTTGAGTGCTCAATAGACCCAGCAAAGGCGGAGATGGAGGCTCGGAAACTATTTCTATTGGTAAGTTATTAATATCGATATTTTCTAAGTCAGTCAATGTTACCGGTAATATCTTCTGTTTTTTTGTTGGTACTTGTATCTTTAAGTCGCTGCAAAGAATCAACATGTCATCATCAAGTTCTTCGCTATCACTTAATAGAAAATCCATCTTGTATTTCTATGCAATCACCTTGAAAAAAGAGAAAGAAAGTAGGTAAATATAATGGAAACACAACGTAACTCAGAAAATAATCGTAATAATAAATAAACACACTTGTTTTAACAGTTAAACCGTGACCAAATAACATTAAATCGATATTATTAGGAATAAAACATCAAGATAAATTGCAAATAATACCTTAAATCGAAATCACAAGATCGGAGCACTTGATGCACGACGAGTTTGTACGTGAATAGCTGACATACGCAATGTTGGCACCACCAACTGAGATACGCAATGTAACTATTTTTCAAATAACGCGTTGGTATTTGTCAGGAATCGTGTTTTGATTGGTCGACACGATGCGCGCCACAATGCTTTCTCCAATGACATTCAAATCTCAAAACCTCACAAAATGACTTACGCACTGTTAGAACTTCACTGACGATATGTCGTTTAATGAATCAATTTGGGACAAACGGGTCGGTGAGCGATAAAGCAGTGTCTGTACGTCAAAGAAACGCAAGATCGTTCGAGAATATTATTTCAATTCGAGACAGTGTGCGAGAAAACCCCAGACAGTTCATTCAGCGTGGTGCGCAAGAGTTGAATCTTTCTGCGACATCAACTTGGCGGATTTTGTGTCTCGAGTTGGGTTTTCATTCATACAAAGTTCATCTGAAGCTAAAACTCAACGGGTACAGACAGCGCCGTGTATTCGCTGATTGGGCGCTGGCTAGAGCAGTTGGCGGCTGACCCTGCCTTCGCTAAAAAATCTTCACTGATGAGGCTCATTTCTGGTTGAGTGGCTTTGTTAACCAACAAAATTGTCGGATTCATCAGGTACCTTTACACTCCGAAGAAGTAACTGTTTGATGTGGATTTTGGTCCGGCGGTATCATCGGCGCTTATTTCTTCGAAGATGCGATAGGAGCCGCGCTCACTGTCAGTGGCGACCGATACCGAACGATGATAACAATTTTTTGTGCCTTAAGATATGATATGGACCTCAAAAACATGTGGTTCCAACAGGACGACGCCACTTGCCATACTGCACGGGAAACAAGTTCAAGGACTACGTCATCTCGCGTGGTGGCAACATGAACCGGCCACCAAGATCGCGTGACTTAACACCGCTTGACTACTTTCTGTGGGGCTACGGGAAATCTCTGGTCTATGCAGACAAACCACAGACAATTACCGAGCTGAAGGCCAACATAACTCGCGTTCTTCATGAAATTGAGCGCAATTTATGCGAAGATGTCTTCCAAAAGTGGTCCACCAGGATACATCACATTCAGCGGAGTTACGGCGGTCATAATATCTCCGTGAGAGCGTGGCCCTTCCCCGGTCGAGCCGGCCCATTTGTGATATATGTAGTTGTTACCTCTTATGACATCCACGGGATGAAATGATATGTAATTGTTTTAAACTATCATCACACGATGGGTAAAGTAGGATAGGTTTTTTACCATATTAAAGAACGTAATATTACCATTGCTTTGTTTGAAAAAACGTTAAAAATTGCAATATTTATTATCTTAATACAAAACAAAACCTTGAGGTAATACCTCGAAAAAGAGATGGCCAAAAATTGAATGAACCTGTGCCCCAGACTGTACAGAGATGAAATTTATGTCATTTGAACAAAAGTTATGAAGATTTAAAAAAGTTGATTTTGGCAGTAATTTTTTATCATTATTACACAATATAGATATTAATAAAGTTCCAATTCATGAGTGTTATGTAGGTTAATGTATATGCATGATGATTAGGATGTATCCTAACTGTTTAAGCTAAAAAAAAGTCTTTGAAATTATTATTTGTAACTACATTTTGTAACATAACTATTATTGATCGAAGTATATTAGACAGAAAATAATTAAACTTACGTATAACCTCGTTATAATTAGTGGAGCACTCGCGTGGGGCTACGGCACTTATTAAATAAAAGTAAAATTCAATAAAACACAAATACGAAGGAAAAGCATACATATATCATACACCGAAAAACGGCGCGTAAGTCGGTAAACATGAATCAGATCAAGTCTGGCATTGACACTTCAACTGTTTTGATGTTTGACGGACGGATTCAGTGTTGCAAGTACTAAAGTAAAATAACCCTATTCTATAATGTAACGCTACATGTTTAGGCTGTTGCTGTATTAAACAAATAAATAAAATCCTATCCTTTACTCCACTTTTTCACCAAATTTTTGATACCTACATGATTTTTAACTATATGACCTTGGATTACATCAAAGGAAAACACAGTAACATGTTATTTTCTTGATAGAAAAAATTGCAAAGTAGGTTCTAATTAGTTACATGTCTCCATAACACCAAAATATTTAACGAATAAGTTCATAGAATTTTTTAAACCATATTAAACAATCATATGTAAGTTCTCATAAACCAGTTTTTTTTTAATCCATAACAAAGTTTTGTTAAAAAAATATTGTTTAGCGCTTACTTATTTTTTTCTGAGCGCGTGCTCAGTATAGCTATCTAATAATTTGCGTATTATGAAGTCATTGCATCACTTTAATTTTGACACTCCCTCAGTTGTCCGTGAGCTTCACCGACAAAGGGATAAGCCACGCCCCAAAACTACGACTCATTTTCAAGGTATCCTCTTAAACTAAAATCTTAAATTGATAATACTGTCGTGAACGCTAACTTAATGCGCAAATGTAACACTCATCTGGGTACTATGTACTCCGTCCAGAAGAAGTGAAACTGCTCCCAATTAAACAACTCCTTCTATTCATTGAAGACATAGACATAGGGCTTAGCAGTGAACTACAACCATAGCAGCGATCACAATAGATCTTTTAGGTCGCAGTGATACTGGTCTCTTTTTCTTAAACATGAATAGCTGTTTTCACGTAATTAAAAAAAAGAACGCTAACTGCATAAGTTATACACTAAGTTTGTTTACCTGTTTGGTCTAGTCTCGTAATTGCGGCTCCTGACCATGAGGATCCGAATTCGAATCCTGGGTCAGGTCAAAATCGTTGAGATTTTCTATCCAGAAATTTTCAGTTGCAGCATGGAGTCAGAAAGTTGGCGGTGTTTTACTCCCGTACCCGTAAAATCACTTTTTTTTACCGGTCGTGTCGGTTGCCGTTCCATCGGAATATGAGAGTGAGAAATAGAGGATGCATCTCCGCTTGCGCATACACTCGGGCACTGTAATCCTGTCCTGCGCAGATGGCTGGTCTCCCTTGAGACTGGCCGCCGTCCTCTGGAGGTCTAGAGAACTTTATGTTAACGCTCGTCTAGTTAAGAAACGTCCCACTCTGTGCTTATCTAAGCTAAGCTATTTGTACTATTATCTATTCTTTGCCTTACGTTACTTTTACCCTAACTCAGCCCGATCCCATCCCCTTGATCACTTTTGCTATGTCGGTGGCATTGGTTTTTGCTCCGTATACTGTTCGTATTTATTTATTTTTTACTTTTTTTTTATAAAACGATACCTCCACACCAGGATTTACTCCTGTATCGCTGGGACAGTTTAAATACAAAAATTTTAGAAGGATAAATATCCTAACCCGGAACAATTATTTTTAGCCATACAAATACTTCTTCCGTGCGGAATTCAAACCCGTGGCTCTTAGCGCTGCAACTTATTGCTAAACCACTGTGCCACGAAGCCGTCCTTATCTATGTGTATATTTTGATATCAAATTAAAAATCCAATCCGAAGAAAAAACGCTTTACACAACTTGCAAATAATTTATGTTGTAATAACGGTTAAGCGAAGCGCTCATTTCAGGAGATCGCGTCACTGACAACTGAAATTGAATTACCATATTACATATTTATGCAAATTGAACAATAAAAGAAATTCTCCAATCACAGTACGCAAGTAGTATAGTGTAGGTAGGTGTGTATATTAAATATCCGTGGTGCAAGCTTATTCGTTGAATTTAATTCTCGTGTGACAGCCGCGACATCAAATTATATTTTTGACTGTGTTTTTATAAAACCTTGACATGGTAGAGTCATGCTGCAGCATTTTGTTGTAGCACGAATGGGTCGGCTCGACCGAATTATAACGCTATCACAGAATACCATTATAAAATAAAAGCTTAATGCAGCTGTGTTTCGTATCGTGAGTGTAGGGAACCAGAGATCCTTTTTACTAGAAAGATCCTTTTTACTTGAGGCATTCCATCTTAATCCTCAGGGGTGTCAACGCATGTGCATTTTGATTCCTAATTGAGGATGCAGATGTCTATGAACGACAGCATCCACTTATCGGCGTTTGGACTGCGTGCTGTCACACTTATTGTATGAAAAAAAAGCACATAAGAAATATTTTGATTTACAAAAATATATTTTATACTAAATTTAATATCGGTTATTAATCTGATGTCAGTTTTTATTCATTTTAAATTTAAAGTCGGTCAAGTGTTTGCTTTACACAATTAAATGTTTCGTGTTCCCTGCCACAAGCAGATTTTCTCCAATTTTTTTAACTTTCCTTTTTAGGGCCCAAAGTTAGAATGTCTTTAGTCTATAATAGACATAGAACGAGTAGTGATCCGCCGAGTATTCGGCTACCGAATACTCGGCCAAATATTCGACTTTAAAGAAAAAACGCGGTAGCGGGCAGCGTGCGGTTTCCTTTACACAGAGTTAGGGATGAAACGATATGAGCAAATACAAAGCCGAAAAACTAATGTTACATCACAATCTCCCTCTCTTAAATTTTAAATATTACTAATATTTAATATTAGTAATAATAATTCTATTATAGATTCTTATGTACTTTCTCAATATTTCTGCTGTTTCTCATGTTCCTGATGTTTTAACGTGTCTAATATAAAAATAATGATAAAAGCTGGCATTTTGTCTTTATTTTTCCTTGAAATATTATTAAGGTCGAGTACTCGGTACCCTACCGTTAATACTCGGTGCTCGGCCGAACCCTAAAAAAGGCCGAATCCGCCGAGTACCGAATCCAAACTGAGTACTCGTCCCATCTCTAGTCTATAATT